TTTGTTATATATTTTTTATTTTTATCATGCATGATTAAACTCAGCCAAAGAGTCCAGTGGTTTTATGATCTTTATTCCTCCCTTTGAATTGCAGCGTGTGCTGTTGCAATAGGCCCCAAAGAACCTAAGAGCTTCACTTTCTCATTACAGACTCAATCACATACACGTTTCAGTTCCTTGAACTGCTCTTTAGAGTGTGACAAAAAACATAAAAAGTCATTAGAAGGGGCCTAGAAGAAAGAGACAAATGAAAGTGTGTCAATGTATGCTCCAGAAAGCTACATTTGGATGCTAAGGCTGAAAGGGCAGAGAGAAAGGGTACAAGCATGTCTAATCTGTCAGAGAAATGAGCCAGTCTGTACGTTTGGGAAACAGCTCAGGAAATGATTGTCATATTAGCCTGGACTATTATGTACATATAGTTACACATACATAAAAATAACAGTGGAAAATTGAAGCAGCAATGAAATTAAGCCATGAGAACATGCTCAGACAGAATAAAAGGTCATCGCAGTAACTAAGTGTAATAAACTTAAGCTATAAGTTTAATAAACTATAGACATGCATAATGCAGAATATCTTAAAATAAAATAATGGTGTTTCAGACAAGCAACGTATCAATTCTGCATACCAGTATCTGTTACCAATGCATGTGACTTTAAGAGATATGACTTTAGAGGTATCTTACATCCTATTAGCAGTCAAGAGCTTGAAACAGTGTCAGAATAGGGAGTAAAAACAGTTGAAAAATATTACAATGGCAACATGAAATAATATACTGTGACCACAGGGGATGTACACCCCAGTGTAACATAAAGTTGGATTAGAGGCAGCCTAAAGAATAAGGTAGTTACTCTACCTTCACTAGCAAGCAATTACTTTCTTAATTCAACACCAGCAAGCGATGCCAGCCTCTTCAGCGCTATTAGCACCTCCAGTGGTTGCTGCCATGATATTGGGCTAATGGCAGGAAGAACAGGTAATTTTATTCTATATTTAAAAAATAATAGCATAGGGCAACTAGACACAGAGATAAGATTTTTAAGTTATGCACACCCTGAATTTAAAATACTAAGAATAGTGCCTACATTGCTGGTTCAACATTTTTTCTTCCAGAAAACAACCTTTCATCAAAAATTAAGTAAAACTCTTTCTCACTGAGAAGCTGATGTATGGTACAGCTTTCAGGAGGGCTGCAATATTGATCCCATCTATTTGAGAAGGTCAGGGCCAACTTCTACTCTAGTGAGCCTCCCAAACCTCACCTGTCCCTGGGAATAAAACTTAGTATAATTCAGCCTCTTAGCTTAAGTCTATGCTTTATTTCCATACTATATTTCAGCACAGTGAAAACAAACCCAAGAGCTGCTGCATGACAACTGCAACCCTAACTCTTCATGAAAAGTGATTTTAAGCTACAGCTTTTTCCTCTTTAATTTGTCACCACCTCAGGTAACTGGTCAGACCCAAGCACCTCTGTGATAGCTCAGGATGAGGACTAGGGAGCAGGGTCCCTGCTCCCTAAATTCCTCCACTTAAACTGCAGTAGCAGCTTCCCTCAGAAACAGCAGTGCTCCTGCTGGTGCACTCACGCGGATCCCAGCGGCGTCCTTGGCTGTCGCCAGCTCTTCTGTGGACACGGCTTCTCGACAGAAGTGGTCCAGCCTGAGAGAGAGAGATTCACCCCGGGAACAAGGACCTTCTCCAGGGCTGCCCTGGCTCCTCTGGCACCCTAATCAGAGAGGACCACCCCCTGCTCCTCCTCCGCCTCTGACAGTTCATCAGTTCATGGCCAGCCACAGGGCTTCTCCCCTCTCCACCGTGAGTTAGTTAACCCCTTCCTTGTAATGACAGTAATGCCAGTTTTTCCATCTAAGGAATCCTGGTGCCTTTGCTTCCCCCTGCTACTGCCATGAGTTTGCTGGAGCAAGCAGTTCATACGCCCTCTGCATCTGTACCTACCAGACAGGTACCGAAGTTCTGTGCCAAAGATACCCTCCCTTGGTAGCAATAAGCAATCTTTTAATAGTTTTGTCCACCTTCACAAGAATCGTTATTTTCAGGTTCTCTAAAGTTGTTAGTACAAGACCACTTTTTAAAAGTTGTAATAAATTACCATATAAACCTTGGCTTTGTAAACGTTACTGCCACAGGATACGAGTTGGCCCAGTTTTTCAGTGTTTAAAAAATGACTACTAATTGAAATGTAAAATCTAATTAGAGATCCTCTGATTAGTTGTTACTTTTTGCCATCTTGGATACTGTTTTGATGAATGAGGCTTAGGAGTCTTACGAATTACCAACGCTCCATATGGCTAAGGGTTGCACACGTTCTAAATTGTTGCAAGTACGTGGACCAATGGAACACATAACATAGCATTTAGGACTCCAAATATATTCACACAGACTCACAGGGCACCTTAACTGTAGCTAACCATGATGGCAGCTCCCCAAACAAATTAGACTTACTGTTCACACATATTTCTACCCAATGCAGCAGCTAAAACACATCAGCTCTGCTTATAACTAAGCTCCTAGATTACCAGACCAAAAGGGTACTCAGTATCACGTTCAGGACACAAGACCCCAGCGGCTAGCACTAGAATAGTCTTCTAGTGTCACCATTTGAAGCTCTAAAGTGTAGAGAGGTCTCTTCTAAGCTACCTACAAAGACAGTTTTTAGAGCAGATACTAAGTACTATGTACCTAAAAGAAGTCAATTAGTGACTGTGCAGACAGAAGGAAATTTTTCCCTGCAGGGGAGAAGCGAAGGGAATAACAGTGTGACAACAACAAGGAATGACAACATGATACAAGAAGTTACCCTTAAAGGATGCAGGCAAAGAATGGAGTATAAGTTTCCAGCAAGCCCATGGTGCAGAGCAGAATGGCTTGCAGTCAATAAGTTAGACGACCTGTTTCGGTACATGCTGCCTTCCCTTTGGTGACATTCAGAGCTGCCACAGCTACTCGAGCATCAGGCAGCAGTGAAGTTCGCTGCACTGCTGAGCAGCTTCATACACCTTTTTTTATTTCTGAACAGTTGTGGGTTGAAAGCAGCACTGTAAGAAGAGTTAAGCTACCTAAAACCAGGATCACAGTCTACTGGGAAATCTGGGAAAAGATTCAGCTTTGTCAAGCTACAAATGTCAGCTTGCAACAATTTACACAGAAAAGATGCACAGAAATAAAGATACACAGAGATAAAGCTGCATCCCTGTCCGGATGTGTTCTCTTGTGTTCAGCAAGTCATTGCATATCACATAAGGCCAGCAGGAAATCCTCCTGCTTCTTGTGATATGGACTTCAGCTTTTAAACAAAGACTTCTGAATCACTTGCATCCTCCCTCCCCATCAGGCTTGCATCATCACACCTGGCTATCACAGCAATCTACAACCGGAGCACCAAATTCTTGGCATCCTGGCCTTCAGTGATGGGAAAAGACAGAAATTAGACAAAATAAAATACACCTATAAAAATCAAAAATGCACGTAAAACCTCCACCTGGCACATGCAAGTGTTTGGGTGTCTGAGGAAGGCATCTCTGCATCCTGGGTGAGAGATCACGTGCAATAAATCAGAAAATATACTTTAGACCTTGAAGAGTGTGTTGGCTGACTATAATATTTACAGGACCATATTTGTACTAACATCATTCACTAAACCTGTTTGAGGTGGCAAGTGGTCTCAAGCACATTTCAAAAATGACCATTTAAGTTTCATCTGGGAGGATTTTCATCTGATCAGAAGCAGTGAGAAAAGGGCAATGCTAACTGTAATTTTGGGATCTTGCTTTTGGAGACTGAGAGATGGATTTGCTCAATACATCCACTATGTAGACCTAACTACTCTTTCTACCTTACAGGTCAATGAAACAAAAGCAACCTTATCTGTAGTTAATTTTTGCAAATTCTAGCATAGCTTTCTTCCGATGACTACCTTCCTCGTTTCCCAAGCATTCAGATTATCTTTTGGTGATGGTGAGGCAGGAGGGTCAAGCCACACAGCTCACTACCTCCCTTCGTAGCAAGATCAGGAGATGGAAAGAATTGCCCAGTGAAATTTTTGACAAAGAAATCTATTTAAGATAATCTATCCTGAAAAAAAAAAAAAAAAGGTACTCCTGCTCTATGTGGAGCATAAACCAAAACATGACCACAGCTGCCAAAGTACTTGGCAAGTTCTGTTTCTCTGCCGTCAGTGATTCTTCCACTGATTTACAATCTGATAGCATCTCACCGACTCAGGAGTTGTTTTTTTCAGGAGTTCCCACAGCAGCTCATGTAGATAAATTCTTTCATCATCTGGGGGAGGGTATTTTTGGTGCTTTGGGCAGAGAGGTGGGGAGGGGGGAAGGTGCGTATTTTATTTAGATTGCTTTTTCCTCCAGTCTAACCTCACTCCTAAAAATGCAGCAGTTGTATTTCCGTGGTTTCTGTCTGGGGATTAACAGAGTTCCTAAAGGCAGATATAAAACTCTTCTGGCTCACTCCAGAATTAAACAGTGGTATCTTTTCTCCCTTCTATCTTCAGATAATTTGCTACACACACAAACTGTGCTGGAAATCCAAATCAAACATCATATAAAGGAGTATTTAGGCTACAACCTAAAAGTTAGTCTTTTTAGCTTTGTGGGAAACTTGGTTAATTCTGAATAGTTCCCATTCAGAAGGCAAGACTAGAATGGAGACTTTTCCTGCTCATTCTTTCCCACTTTCACATCCTTTTTGCTGATGGAGATAAAAATCGGCAAAAGATTACTAAAAATATTCTATGCAGCTGCAGTAGAGTCAAACAAAATCCAACTGTGGAACTGTAAACTTCCCAAATAAACCTGCAACAGTTTTCCACAACCCGGAGCTAAGACTCCATTTCTACACTACATTAGGTTTCTGCCACACATGACAGTCCCGATGTGACAGTGAAATATTTTTTTAGACCTTCAGGTTACAAAATCCCAAATTAAAGATGCAACTAAAAATTACAAAAGTTTACTTACACAGGTTACTTTCCGGTAAATTTGAGCAGCATTCTGGCATTCTGAATAAGGGTATTCTGAGGTAGCCATTTCCAACATGCACATCCCAAAAGCATACACATCCACGGATTCATCATAGTGTTCCTCATACATTTCTGGGGCCATAAACTCTGGAGTACCTACACATGCACACACAAAAAGAACATAAATTCTTCATAAATGACTTGAATTGTATTTTTTCACGTATAAAAATGTGCCTATTACAGCAGCATAAGGGTGCATGCAAGATTAATTCAAAACAGGAAAGTAATTAGAATAAGGCTTAAGCATCCTCCACAGAAGAAACCCAAGGTCAGCATATACATTTGCACACCCATCTCTTGCTGATAATAATAGAAGAGAGGAAAAAACATATATTTGAGTTTCAAAAGTGAACAGGAGAATTCTGAAATGAGATGCGGCATGGTGCTTGAAAATATGCTGGAAATCTCAAAATCATTCCTTACTGGGGACAGAGAGAGGGATGTGTATAGGTCTGTGATGCTGAAAAGGACAGAAGAAACAAGAGGCTTTCATCTTCATTTTGTTGAAGTTAATTTGCATTTTTTTCCTCCAGAGAGATAAGCAGCAACTACCCAGCAGATAGACAGTGTTTTGACAGCAAGTGGTATCACAAATTCATCTACAAAGTCACGCACAGAAGAACGCCAGCACTAAACAAGATTCTGTCGCTGGTTTAGTGGGACAAATCAATGAGCAGACTTACAGAATAAGGTCCTACTCAACAGGGAGTAGAGTGCCAGAAATCTGATACAACTGGATAAACATGAATTGAAGCATTGCATTTACTGCTTCATTACGGCAAGCAGCAGCTTTATAACAAGGGGCTACTTACAACACCTGCAAACGTTTCCTTTTATACAGGGCAGCAGGAACACGCAGAAGTTTTATGGCATCAATAGCTGCAAAAAAACTCGTCTACACGGCACACAGACTGGGAAGTTTAGCCACAAGAATTGCTCAGCCTTTGCCAGAGAAATCCAAATTCTGCATCCAAATGCCCCTCTCCAGAACTTTCTGTCCGTTTGGCACATATGTTAACAGCGTGCGATTTTTTTGTTATGCCATTTCTAGTATCAGCAAGACCTTGACTCCAGTTAAAACAATACATACCAACAAAAATAGTTTTTGTCCTTACATATATTTGATGTAAGCTTTACTATGACAGCATAAGCTATGCCTCTTAAAAGTAGGGTTTGTCAGCAAAACTCTGCTTTTACACATTTTCTAATGTAGCATTGGCCTAACTCACATAATAAACCTCTGTTAAAACATTCCTGTAACATTTGCCAAACTTTGGGTCTCTCTCTCCTCTTGTTTATGTTCCTTCCACCTTGAAGGCATTCCCCTTCAGCCTTTATAAGCCAGCTGAATCCATGTTATGAAAGCTTAACTTCTCTTAGTAACTTCTCTGAGTTTAATAACTGATCTTAGGCTTTTTCTTCCAGCTGCTACAAAGCCTATGGCTGCTAACAGGAAAGGGTTAACAGCTGTCAGACCCAGACCTGCTGCATTGTTTCCAAGAGAACCAGGCTCAGACACAGAAGTCAATCTCATGAATTATGGAGCTTTTAAAGCAAGTTTGTTACAAATCTGAAAAAGTGATAGTGATTGTCTAAGAAGCAAATGATACTCTTGACACTGTTCCAAAATGCCATGAAAATGACATTGGCCACCCATCCCTGGGGGTGGGAAGGAACACATCCTTATAAGTATTCTTAACAAAACAGACCACATAGATGTAAAGCTGCTTAGTAGCTATTCAGCTCCTCTTTGCTGAACTAGCCTTGCACTGGTTTGGTTCCCAGAACAGACACTTTGCAAGGTCAAATAAGCATCCGTGCTTGTACAAACACAACAAGGGAAAAATTGGGTCGCAGCCACCCTGACTTCACTCAGTTAAAACTGATACAGAATTACAGCTACTAATATTCCTTTAAGGCTACTACAGCTATGGAGAAGGTCTGCTGCAGGTGGAGATAAGGTGGTAATACAGACAGGAGGTAGCAGAGAGCTCCAGGGCTGGCAACACACAGCCCTCAAAAGCCTAGCTGGCTCACGGAGCTGCTGGAGGAGAAGCCAGGTCCAGCGGCTGGCCCTGCAGGATCCCACTTCCCACCCCGCCCTGTCCTGAGCTTAACAGGGGCAGAAAGCCCACGGCGCTCCCTTCCCATTTCTGCTGTCTCACTTCTCAAGCAGCAGAGACCTTAGCTTCTCACTTGTGGGCAGCAAAATGCAGTTTTTCCTCACGGCCATAAAGGCAGGTGCTGGCCCAGCGTCATTAGCAGAAACACTGGTATCGCCCTGTGTCTCCAACCCCCTAATTCTTTCCTTGGAGCAGTACTCAAAAAACAGTACATAAAAAAAAAAGTTCAGTTAGATTGTCAAAATGAATACAGATAACTTGCCAGCAACCTCCAGCACTTTTCATTACTGAATTTCTTTTAGACATGATATGAGCATGGTTTGACAGCACTGTGCTAACAACTAATTTTACAGAAAATCATATTGTTGTTACAGATATTATTCCCAGTCTGTGGACAACTGTTACACTGCAAAAAGGAAAAAGCGCAGACCCTCCACAGAACAAAACAATTATCAGCAGGTAAAACCAAGACACTTAACGATATAAAACAATATGACTTCATTGAAATCAGCAAGGTTAAGCAGACACAGCCCAAAATTTCAATCATAATTTGACTTCAAGGATATCAGGCTCCTCATGTATAAAGGCTACTACTTTTATATTTGTTTACTAATTTTTTATACAATTCATGAGAATTTGAGATGCTAAAATAATTACTTAAACAACTGCTTTTTGAAAGACATTATGTTTTATAATTAGGCAATACTGGTTATCACTGTGAGTTTGCTAAGTTAAGCTATTATAGCCCTGAAAATTGTTCTTGTTATCTAATTTCCTTTTACGAAGTAAGTTGAAGTATGATTATGTCCATAACAGTTTCCCTCACTTTCGGCATCCTGTTTCAGGAATTCTTAACTTCTTCGAAGCAACACGTACCTTCCAAGGGAGATTTGCTAAGGAAGTATGGGGAGAAAAAAAATACAAAACGTTGAGAATTCAGGCGAAGGATATCACACTTGCTTTTCTCACAGAGCAAGCATTAAAAGTTAACATTTGCAAGGAAATGTCATCCTTCAGTAATCATTCAAAAAATGTCCTCCAATTCAATTAAAATCAAGTTCAAACACGTTTAAATACTATTCTGGCTGAGGGAACACTTCTCATGTGGGTACCACCTAAGATCTGTTATTCCACATTCTGGTGGAGGTGACTTTTTTGGTTTTTTAGCTACTTATTTTTAATAAGTTGCAGACAATGTTTGGGTAAGACTCTGCCAGGACGAGATGGAGGCCTGAGCTGCTGCAGAAGCAAGCTATCCTGCTGATGGCCCAGGGAATGGGGACAGCCAGAGAGCCAGGCTCTGCAGGGCACTACCGGCAAAACAGGCTGCCCTTTCCCTTAGCAAAAGTCCCTGTCCCTACCCCAGCATCACTGCAAACAGAAAATTGCCTCTTCTCTGGGGCTTTCCAGACCCTCTCCTGGCATCACCTGCACAGTGAGAGAGCCGAGCCTCACTGTTGTCCCCCATTCTCTCTTTTCCTCTCCTTTCCCAGCAGCCGCTGAGCCTGCGCTCACAGGATGATACAAGTTGCTGAGAACTGTTGCCGGCTCTTTTGAAGGAGAGAGGAGGAGAATCTGAGTACAAAGTAGTATTTTAGTAAGAAAGCACTTTTCTATTCTGATACAAAAGGAAGGCGAAGAGTAGGTCATAGTAACATTTCTGGATAGGCGTTATAGATTGAGATTTTTTACAAAAGTATAAAGGCAACTGTCACAAAACCTTTTTAATCTCTGCAACCAACCTGCAAGTGAAAATAATATTAATGTGAAGCATGAAAGAAAGGCAAATTGAAAAGACAGCCACCATACTAGAAGGAAGCCAAGGAGAACAGAATGATTACCTATTACACTTTTGGCAAATGAAGCTCTCTTGAGGGTTGCCAGACCCAAGTCTCCTATTTTCACAGATCCAGTTGGTCCAGTAATAAAAATATTGTCACATTTTAAGTCTCTGTGAATTATTGGTGGAGTTCTCGTGTGCAGGAAAAGAAGACCCTTCAGGATCTGCCGGCACCAACTACGCAAGACTTTTGGTTTCATCACTTTAAATCTCTTCAGATACCTACAGTACAAAAAATACGCAGATATGGATATAAAGAAAACAAAAGTGGTATTAAAGATGCTAGAGGCTGCAACTTCATTTTGGATATGAGCCCCTCCTTGGATGCCATAATAGCCACTCAGAAACATCAAGAAATAAACCTTTCTAAAGAAGGAATTAGAACATTCATTTTTAGAGAGGAAGATAAAAAGCATTTTGTGCAAGTACAACCAAATATTTGCCAGTCTAATAGCAAAGTTACTCACTTTATGCAGATAAAACAGTCTGAATACTCTTCATATATGCAGATCAGAACAATACCAAAGTTTAATTTTACCAAAAGATTTTGACCTCTGCACCATGCACCTGCGTTTTTTCCCCTTTATCTAAAATAAGGATGGGGAGGGTACACATCGGAAAAAAATGTAAAACCTGCTAACGTACTTTCAGCACAGCACACTGGATATATGCAGTGATGAATATTGCTCCCATTGGGGCTGAAAATCTGTTCCAGAATTCATGCCAACTGTTTTATTTCAACCTTAACAAGATTGTCAGTACCAAAGCTATTAATTAAAATTGTTTAGTAGATAACCAAGAGCACTTTCTGCTTCAAAAAGAGAGTCTCCCATTCAAGTGCTATCCTATCTGAATTTTGTAGCAAAACATGCAAACACTAGCACAAAAGTGATCATAAAAATACATCCTGACAAATTAGCCCTTCACATGCAGAAGATGAAACAAACCAGAGAACTGCTTCCAGTTACATAACTGCAACAGAAGATCGGGGAAGAGAGATGGAGGCCAAAATTCTTCCTGTCAAATCAATGAAGTTCAAACACAGGGACAAATGACAGACACCAGAGAACAGTTCCATTTTTTTTCTTTTATCTTGAGATGCCTTTTACAGAATGTGAAAGTAGGATTTTTCTAAAAATTTCCATAGCTATTCTTAGACTCCTCACCAGGAGCACAGTACTTACGTCTTTAGTGTTCCAGAGGTCATCAATTCAGTAACCAGCACGATACATCTTTTTCCTTTTACACAGGATTCCCAGAAGTCATAAAATCTTACAATATTTGGATGCTGTAGACCTTTCAACATTTCTGCTTCCTCTTTAAATCTCTGTCTCTCTACTTTTGTTAATTTTCTGTCCTATAATGCAAAATAAGACATTATTAGTATGGGAGTGACAAAAATAAAATAAAGCCACTGCAAGTTTACTGCTATGCTTTTCAGAATTCTACATTTATGACTGTATCATGAACAACTATAAAATCTTTTATAAGTGATGAGCAGTATGTATGAACTAGGGCACTAGCCTCGAGCCCGGCGTCAAAAAGACAATGACTTGTCTCGAATCCAAAACCATCCATGCTACACTACATGACAGTGTTACTATTCCAGGCAACAGCACTGTATCAGTATGTTGACGTTATCAACATACGGTTATTTACTACTTGTTTTGGTTTTGTGAGGATCATTATAGGCAAGAATAACAAACACAGGGCCTCATTTCCAGGTATGCAAAGTAGTCAGAGCTAAGCTACTGCTTCCTTTTACGACTGTGAATGCTCAATGTTTAAATGACAGCATATGTGAATTATACAGTAGCAAATACAAGGTGAGTTCCCCTGAGTAACCACACTGGGCTGCACAGCCTCTTCCATTTCAGTAGGGAAAAATTATACAATACCATCTCAAAAATGAACACATCAATTTTTCTGTTCATCCACAGTTCTGCTTAATTTTATGGACTTTTACTTAAAACTGATGAAGGATTTAAAATCACCCTTCAGCCTTTCCTGTAGGCTGTAAAGCATGGGAATATTTATTCTTTTAGATTAGAAATATGAGGAACGTCACATTCCACTGGCCAGGTTTTCCTAGAGAAACTTAGGAATGTTTACTGTAAACTCCAGGCTGTAAATGAAAGAATAAGTATTTAAGACCTAAGAAAGGCTTATTTTCCTCAAGAGCTCCTTGTGCCAGCAACGAGCATATGCAGACTCCAAAAACATAAATCAACCAAGTCCCCCCATGTCATTTTTTGTAATTCCACCTCAGCTGCGACCTCCTTCGCTCTCCCAAGATCACGGTTTGCAGGAACTCCTGCCAACATCCCAGCTAGATACGCAGCAGAGTTTACCCCCACCAAAACCCCACCGGGGAACGAAAGACCCTCCTGCAGACTCGCACACAGGTAGGCTTCACCTGGAGAAGACGAAAGAAAGTTTCTTTGTGCTACTTTTCCTTAGCGCAGCAGCGAGCTCAGCCCCCGCCCCGAGCCTGGCTGAGTGGGACATGATGTCCTTGCTGGCCAAGCGGCCACAGAGTTTAGCAGAATCCTCCTCAGCTACCTGCAGCTAATTAACTCCTAAACCCCTACAAGAAAAAGGCAACAAAAAGCTAAGTCTCTCACATTATCATCTTTAGACTATATAAAAGAACAAAATGGCACATGCTAAAGCACTAGGAGTTTCACTGATGACTGCACCATCACAGTCCAGTTTATCTCCTGTGGACAGCTATTTGGGCTGGGCGCACTTCAATCCACCATCCTAGAAATGAAGCTCTTTAGTTCTTTAAAAGGCACAACCGTGTAGCTGTTCTTACTTACAGAAATGAAGGCTCACAAATCACTAAACTAATTAGCTCATTTTTTAACCTCACACATTCTCTTCTTCTCAGCTAACTTAGGTATGTTTATAACAGCATCTACTTAGCGAACTAAATTGGCACTCAGCTTATTTTTAACCGAGATTCAGAGGGAAAAAGCCACTGCCATTTTGAAACAGTCTGTCCTCATCTGTATTTGCAAAGAACTCAATATAGTAATGAGAATTCACACAGCTGGAAACAAGTCAGCTTGACACAGAGATTTTCCAAGGGGAAGATCTGGGTTGAAGCAATTATATGTTTTAGCTCTTCTTGGAAGACAGAAAAGCCTGCTTCTTCAGCAGTGCGAGGGGGGAGCATTCCCATTTTACATGGCTGCAGCTCATGGCTGTGTTTCCCCGAGCAACAGGAGCAGTCTCCCGGCTGGGAGCAGCCGGGGGCTCAAGGGAGGACACCCACGCTGCGGGAAGGCACCCTTCACCCCGCAGGCAATGGGCAGCGCTGCTCTGTGCTGCAGGAACAAGCTGGTATTTCTGTTGCTCTGTATTAACTGCATTTTTCGTAAAAGAAAAAAAGAAAAAGAAAAGGCTATCTAATGAGCCAGCACTGAAAAGCCTGACAATTGCTTTCAAATCCATCAATTCTTCCCCTACTGCTGAGTCTCCTCTTAATTTAAACCCAGTAGAATAAATCAGACGCACTGCTATCAAGGAGGAAAAGGAGTATTTCCTTGTGTGAGACAGGAAGAGCATAGCGTGGGTTAGCAGAGAAAGGAAGAGAAAGTAACACAGACTTTTTTTTTTGATTTTTAATTTAAAAAAGTACCTCTTGATTCTCCTTTCCAGATTTTTGAGCATTGTGAGAAATTTTCCACTGCTAATTTGTGGGTAGCTTTTAAAATATCACCCAGACATTGCAGATGATCACATTTGGTATCACAGGCTGCATATTACAAGCACCAGACCACTCGGATCGATGACTGAATTCAGAATACTGAGATGGCAATCTGAACAACAGCAACAAAATGATTGCAAAGACACATATATCTTTTATATAAAATATGGATTCTTTCCCTGTAATCATAATCTCAAAAGGATAACCAAGCATCTTTCTCAGGAGAAAGCCTGCACCCATTACTAGTGCCCAGAAGGAGAGGCCAGGGCAGGGGCTCGGGCAGAGCAGCCGCCCTCGCGTGCTTCCCATCCTCTCAGGGCACTTCCCACGCAGAGGAACCCTAAAGCTTCACATCAACCTTTTATAAGTTCCCCAAGGCTGAACCAGACATGAGAGCTGTTGGCCAAAGCACAAGCACTTTCTGAAGGGGCTTAACAGTTGAGCTCTTTTCTACTCTGTGGCAGCAAAAATGCCCTTGCTGTCATTTTAACAGCGTGACTCATTCAATATTTATTCCAAACCCTTCACAGACACTTATTCCCTACCATATAATACACACCAGGCAAAAAAGCTTTGTGCTATAGGTAAGGATCTAAACTTCAAACAACTACCTTAGCACAATAAAATTTTAAGATAAAGGAACCAGATTCTTTGAAGAGGTGATGTCAAAGAAAATTAATCCATTTAAACTGAGTTTAAGGTGTCACTTTGCATAACCTAATGAAATTTATGAAAGCCTGGCGGTGAAGCGAGTTCCCTGATTCAGGCAGCGAGTCACCAGCCACCACGCTGTCTGCAATGGAAGACATTGCCAGCATCATGCTGCCAAAGGAGGCGGCTTAGGGATGCAGCATTAAACGCTTTACTCTGCTGTAGCACGAGGAAGGTGATGGCAGTGTCACGGCAAGGTGACAAACAAGCTCACTGTTGTCCCACTGCATTAATATCACTCCTTCTATTCCGAGATTCCCCAAGATACAAGACTTGAAATGAAAATTAGAAATTATTTTCAATGTGATCTGAGCGATACCAATATTAGTCTGCAGTTATCAGCACGCTTCATCTCCTTATAAGGCAGCCGCACTGCTTGGCTCTTTCCCACTTCACTGGGACACAGTCTTGGCTCTGGGGGCTGCATTTTCACTCCACTTAAAATAAATGAAAGCTTCTCAAACCTACTAAATAGGACCAAGGTTTCTAAAATAAACTTCATCCTTGAAAAGTTCAGAGCAATCACACTGAGCTGGTTCAACTTTTCTGACTGAATTTAACTGAATTTAAACAGAATCAAGCAAGAAGTGAGACAGCTGCTCAGTCCATGTTACTGCTAGGAAGGAATCTATAAATTTATCTTGTTTCTCCATCTTAATAAGCTATAAAGAATGCCCTGGAGAGAAGATTTCTCCCCACCTCTGCCAGAAGAAGTGGTCTGCTCAAAAGGATCCAGCGCAGAATTTGTGTGCAGCAAAGTCAGGACCAAAGCAGTGCTGAGAACAGATATAACAACCATGAGCTTTCCCACGCTCAAGGCCTGGATACACCGGTTTTGCAAACATATACGTGATGCAAACTCGTAAGTCTGTTATTTTATTATAATGACTTAACTAGAATCATACCGTGCTTTATAAAACAGGAAAGCAGATTTACTGTTTTAAACAGATAGGGGATTGCATCCACTTCCACACAGTGTTTAAGGCAGAATGGTTTGAGCGCTCTTCCCGAACACAGCCGCACGGGTCCACGGTCAGCTGCCCTAGCTAAATTCTGTGCTCAGAATTTACCAGTTTATTATTACAGCTACGCTGGGGCTGCTGCGGTTCAGTATTTACAGAGTGCCTGTGCAGGAATAAGCCACAACAGCGAGCGCTAGCAGTACATCTCAGGCAGAGCATCACTGCTTACACAGACACTGCCCAGCCACCTGTGCAGCCTGGGTGGCTTGTAGCTCCACAGTTTAACCTTTTGTGTAAATAAACACTAAATGGTTTGGAATTACCCGATGTATCCTTTACCATGATAGGCAGTCTCTAACAGTCAAATAACAAACAAGCAGTAAAAGGAGGTTATAAATTGAAAACTTGTTTCTCCTCTTTGACTTCCTTAACGTTCTGCCTGTTGCATAGCAGATCATAACTGCATGGTCAGTTTTAAGCATCAAACCACTGAAAGCTATTTACTTCTTCTGAGGAGAAAGAATTCCCGATTAGTATTTTATATCATTGCTCTTAGTAAATTAAACACTGATTCAGAGAGAGTTAAAAGGGACTGAAAAAAATGAAATATGCAGCAGGAATTGACGTTGCATAACCTCCTATTTGTAAAACATATTTCTTAAAATTAGTCATCAGTCTAAGACATATAGCCTCTCCATTTCACCCTGTTTTTCCCAGGTAGAGTTATATAAGCCTTCTCTTTGGTGATATAAAATTTACCCCTTCACTAAGTTCTTTGGTGTTGAACAATAGCAAAGGCTGGAATCTGGAGCAAAGCACATATTAATAAAATGAAGGGAAGGCTTACAAAATACATTTCTGGAATTACACCCAAATTAACAGCAGGAGCATGTTCTGTTAGTCATCTACAAGCATCATTTCCTCCAGGTTGTAACATATGGGCTCTGACTAAGTCTTTGTAAGTTATAC